CGGGCCTTGTATCTCTCAATGTTGCCTAATGAGTTTCTTTAGTCTTAAAAACCCACTTACAGCCAACGGCCTTGGCCCCATTAGGCAACTCAACAAGATCCCAAACTCCATTGTCCTTCATGGAATTTATTTCATCCTTCATGGCTTCTAACCATAAGTCAGACTGTACACAATTTGTGGCTCGAGAGAATGTTTCAGGATCATTTTCGGCCCCTATGTCAGATTCTTGTAGATACGAAACATAATAACTAGGAACTGCTGATCGCCTTATCCGAGTAGACCGTCTTAAAGTTGACCCTCATCACCTTGTATAGGCTGCGGGGCAACTACCTCTTCAGGAACTGGTGGCAGTTCTTGAATCGGTTCAGTCTGCATCGGCTCAGAATCTTGCTGTATATCCTGAGTTGGTTCAACCATTGGTTCGAAATCTAGTTCAGACGGTTGCTGTAAGTCCTGAACTGGTTCTTCCAAAGGTTGATCCTCAACAGTTTGTGGAACCTCAACGGTAGGCGCTATATCTACAGGCAGAACTAAAGGAGCACTGCGGATAAGTACCACCAGATGACGTAGAAGGGTGAGAGTCAATATGATCAAAAGAAGGAACTAAGTCCTTAAACCGATCACTCCCACTAATCAAGTCACCTTCAAGAAATTCAGCATTCCTTGATTCCACTATCCTAGTAGTATGAGATGGACAATAGAACCTATAACCCTTAGAAGATTGTGCATATCCAATAAAGAAAGCACAAATCGTCCTTGGGTCAAGTTTCTTCTCGTGTGGGTTATATATCCTCACCTCAGACGGACATCCCTAAACACGCATATGTTGCAAACTCGGTTTCCAACCTTTGAATAACTCAAACGGTGTCTTAGGGACAACCTTGGTTAGAACACGGTTTAATATATACGTTGCCGTCTTAAGCGCTTCATCCCACAACGACTTAGGAAGCTTAGAGTTGCTAAGCATACTCCGCACCATATCCAGAAGGGTCCGATTTCTTCTTTTAGCTACACCATTTTGGTCCGGAGAACCAGACATGGTGTATTGGGCAACAATCCCATGCTCTTGAAGAAACTTAGCAAATAGACCCGATGCTTGCCCATTCTCATTGTATCTACCATAGTATTCACCACCCCTATCAGACCTAACTATGTGTATTTTCATGTTACATTGGTTTTCAACTTCAGCTTTAAATGATTTAAAGGCATCCAATGCTTCGTGTTTATGATGAAGTAAATACACATAGGAAAATCTTGAGAAGTCATCAATAAAGGTGATGAAATATTTCTGACCAGGTATTGTCATATCAGGACAACATATGTCAGTATGAATAATTTCCAACAACGTTGTACTTCTATTGGCACCTTTCTTTGACTTGTTTGTCTGCTTACCCTTAATGCAGTCAACGCAAGTCTCAAAGTCAGTATAGTCTAGAGTAGAAAGTACTCCATCCTTTACCAACCTTTTAATACGCTCAAGGGAGATATGACCTAATCTCCGATGCCACAACATTGAGGAATTGTCGTTAATACTGCACCGTTTGGTGCCGTTTTGAACATGTAAAGAATTGTAAACTGAATCAGTCTTTAATTTAAGACGGAAAAGACCATTAGACAATGTACCAGTACCAACACAAGTATAATAATGAAATAACTTGATATTATTGGTATTAAATTCAAAAGAATATCCGAAGGGTACAAGTCTAGATACTGAAACTAAGTTCCTAGAAAAACTAGGAACATAAAATGTCTTTTCTAACGTCATTACAAAACCATTGTCCAAAACTAAATTGCAAACTTCGACAGCTTCGACTGGTGACGCAATCTTGTTTCCAGAGAAGATGCTACACTCAGTTCCCGTTGGCTGTCTCAATTTTGTCAAATCCTGCAAAGAGTTTGCAATTTGGATTGTTGAACCAGAGTCAACCCACCAAGAATTAGTATTAACTTCTGACATATTAAATTCGAAACAAACAAAAGAAGATGGAACATACCCAAGCTTAGCCACAAGCCTTTGTTCCTCCATTGCACACATGGTTATCAACTCATTGATAGACCAGTCCACTTTATGTGTGATGTAGGAAATCTTAAAAGGATTGTACTCTTGAGGAAGGGTATCAAGTGCAAAAAACACCAAATAATCATCTGGTAGAATGATTTCCAACTCCTTTAATTGAGCCGCAATATCCCTGAGTTGCATAATGTGTTCACGCGTTCCCTTGACAGTGGAAAGACGCAAATTTCTCAACTTCATGATTAGAGTCATTGCCAAAACTTTCTTTGATTCAATGAAGTTATCATCGATAACTTTGAGCAAGGGTTTCGCTTTCTTAATGTCCTCAAAGCAAAAACGAATTTTTCTAGAAATTCTTGACTTAATGAAGAGCACACATAATCCATTGGATTTCTCCCATTGTGCGCGAAGCTGCTTGGCTTCGCCAGTGCTTTCTTCAGTAACCTCAGGGGGTTCCTCATTGAGAACAGCATAATCCAACTCTAATAATCTTAATTGCAAGAGAATAGCATCTTTCCACTCTTTGTGGTTATCTTCATTAAGGATTGGAACATTAATTTGTGTTTGGTTGCCAGGATGAGTTGCTGTAAAGAATAATAATTAATGCTTGGTTAGAATTTTCGAGGCACAAAAAATTAGAGAGAGATACTGAAGTACATAATATTACCAATGTAAAATTATGCAAAAGATAAATTCGGATGCCATAAAAATTGCCTGTGGGCTAAATTTTTACGCATAATGAATTTACCAAAACTGAATGGTGGAAACGGAATGGGTGCGATTTTAATTTTTCCACCCTTAATGACAAAACTACCAAAACTATATGCCGATACATAATCCCTGTGGGCAAATTATGATCATAGCATGGTATTTCATCCTAATTAACCCTACAAATATAACAAAATTGCCTGTGGGCTAAATTTTGCCATATCACGCAGAGTGAATTACAATATTCTTGCATTAACTTTATGTGAGTAAAACTTAATATGTAATTTTGGAAAAATTAAAGATGCTGTGGCTACTCTTTAATTAACCAAAGAACATAATCACATTAGCAAGAAAACCTAATAAACAAACAGATTAAACCAAAATATGATAGACAATTCTTAGGTATACTCCCAGGAAAGTTGGTCGAGACGAAGCTCGGTTAAAAACCAACTCCTTAGACAGAGTAGCGTCGCAAGGGGACTAGTAGCAACAAGGCTTTTAAGCCAGGGCCATAGAACTAGTATTCCTCCCCAAGAAACTTCCCTAATTCATGTGTTCTCATTTTTGAAGTAAAATCATTTGAGAGATCTAAAGAGTGTAGTTTCACCTATGGATAAGGCTTTAAATAGGGTAAACTACAAATTGTTTATGTACTTTATGTGCTTTAGGAACTTTATAAAACACGAGTGGAGTAATGACTGAAGATTGAGTAATAATATGCATAATCTAACCTGAAAGTCACTAATTCACCTAAAGGCACTAAATCATGCATAATCAGCATATAATTCAGACCTAAAAGGCTCTAAATTTTTCTTAATGAACATGCTTTTCTACAGGCATAATTATAACAGTCAAATAATTATTGCAATAAAGAGATAAATAGCATGCTCAGATTATGCATATTACTCACAAATACTCCACAATTAAATTGCAACACTTAATACAATTTAAACTGAAAAACATTATTAAATTAAAATTCAACTGAAAAATTTAAAACTGAATAATTATTCAAAGTTGAATAATAATTTAATAATGGACTTAATAAAAAAAATTTTCAATTGGATAATTTAATTAGAAAAAGTCCAAATATGATGAAGATGTTAATCTGAATGAATTGATGTAGTCCAAATATCAATTCAGGTTTGATCCAAAACCATAACAGGCCCAGATTAAAAAAAAAAATTATAATTTTCTTTTTTTTCTTAATGAGCCCAGGTCTAGCCCAAATTGGGCCAGACCTGGCCCATTAACATAACATCATCATCTTCTTCATCTGAATAATCGCAAGCCAGCACCGGAATTCGAAAAACAAGAAGCAATTTCCGGCGAAGCAGCGAAAAGGCCAAAAATAAAAAATAATTATCCAATTTAATTAATTTTTTTTGTTTCTTAATGCGGAATAAACTAAAATTTCCAGCAGTCCAGACAATTTAATTGCGAACCAAAGAATATTCACCATATGTAATTGAATTATACAAATATGTATACAACATATGCAAATATTATATGCAATTAAACGAACTAGGCAGAGATTATTTATGGCGACTGATACCAACTGTTAGACTAAAGTATCACATGCATCATATAATATGTGATAATAGGATCGACTAACCTCCAGCCATAGTTCTTGATACGGATGAGCGATCCAGACTGCTGCAGAGATAACGAGTATTTTGTCTCTCACTTTACTCAGCTCTCTCTAGATGGTGTATGAGGTATGTATTGTGAGCAGTGAGAGGACTAGTGACCTTATATAACCACTGGCCATCATTGTGGTTGATTGTCTTTAGGTCTCCTAAACCCTAACCAGACTCCTAATCATAATGGTAGTCTAGCTATTAGGTTATTAGTGTTGCACCACATATCAAATACTGAATATTATCATAACTTATCCTAATGTTATAATAATAGTAACAGATAAACGTTACATTATAATCACAAGCTTCTAAAATTAACTTTATCGATTGATCTTCTTAATTTGACTCTATTGCTTGTGAACAATTTAGACTAGTTTACATCATCATGATTCGCCAACTAGGATCATAAGATGTGTTTCATCGAGTATACACATTTGAATAATGAGGGCAGAGCTTTCTTGTAAATCAAAGATTAAGCAGAGATGATATGATTTGAGCAAAAGATTAAGGGGAGATGATTACTGATTAGACTTTTTAAGGCTTCACCCATGGCTTAGGAGATGATGCAAATTATTGTTAATTATCTCACCATTAATTACATTAATTTGAATCCAGAATATCATTCTTTCAATAAAAATAAATAAATAAATAACATAAATACAATTACTAAATGATCTCTTCATGCATGAAATGGGATAATATAATGTACAAAGCTGACGAGTGATGACTAGCTAGCTACAAACTACAAAGTAAAGTATCAAAAACTTAGAAATTTTGTTTTAAATTTTTAATAACACTTTATAATTGTTTTTTGCTCTTTAAAAATTTAAAAAAAAAAAAAAAAAATCTATAATCGGGCCGGGCCGGGCCGGGCTAGCTATAGAGAAAAGATTGATCACAGGGAGAAGAAAAGTGAGAAATAAGTCCATCAAGATCGTCTAGCCCAGCAAAGAAATCATCCTCCACGTCGTATTTGACATTAATATTATTATTGTACTCGTTTTCATCGACCATTTTCTCCTCCTCTTTTACCATCGCCGGAGAAACAACCGCCGGAGACATGAATGATGCCGGAGGGTGATCCTGCAGGCCGTCTTCACTGTAATAATAATCTTGGGGTTTTTTTGATGAGGCCGCCGCCGTAGGAAACTTGTTCCTGATGGTCCCGGCTAGGGAATTCCGGCGGGTCGGCTGGCTGTGGCAGTGCTCCGCCGTGTAGGTTACGATGAACATCCCAGCTTCGCTACAGCTTCTCTCCACTTGTTTCCTCGCCAGACAACCTTTTAAGCTGCTACACCGGTAATAGCTCCTGCATGCATATTTTATTTAATTTTATCCATTTAATTAACCTTAATTAATCAAATTACTTCCCAAAATCTAGTCAAATATACCACAGATTGGAATATCGGATCGAGTAACAACTAAAATATAGAGCTCGAACTCAAATTTACAATTTTTGTTGTGATTAGGGAAACTCGTATGTAACTATTATCCGAGAGTAAATTCAGCTGCCATATAACCCTAGCCGGCAACCAATATAAATTACATAGCTGATTGGCTCAAACTAAAATGGTGTAATCTTATAGTTATCAATTCAATTGACTGATTAATTTGTCTGGTCACCCAGATTTACAATTTTTAAATCAACTGATTAAAGTTGTAATTAGTTAAAATTATTTTTCTTCTTTCCAACTTTCACCTCTATGACCACTTGAGCTGCCGAGTTAAGACTATTCTTAATTACATCAAAGGAATCATTACCTTGGATATGGTGAACCTTTGATAGGTTTTTGGCCATACTTTCGCCAAGCCCACTTATCATCAGAAAGCTCTTCAAGTGGTACCTGAAGCACCACTCTTTTATGCTCACTTTTCCTGTCAAAAAGTTACAGACACACAACAACTTAGCTTAAACCAAAAGGTAACTACCCAGATCAGAAAAACTTTCTTATTTCTTATCATCCACTAACCTTCTTTTATATTTAGGCACATAAACCGCCGCCGCCGCCGCCGGAGGAGCATCCGGCGGCGGCTTCTGATAATCATCTTGTAGTTCGACAGCCGGTTGTTGGTTGACTTCTTTAGGGAAACAAACGGGCGAAGAAGCACAGAATGGGTGGTAGAATGGCTTGTAAAGCTCTTCCAGTTCATCACCGTTCCAAATCCTAGTCATCTCCGTCCCGAAAACATCCTCAAACAGCCCGAAATCCTCGTCCGGCGACACCCGACCGTCAAACGCTCCGAAACTAGCGCCGCCGGAGGCGGCGGAATCACGGTTGGAGGATCCATGAACGACGGCTTGTAAGGCCCCGTCTCCTCCAGCGCACTGAGCCATCATCATCGAATCCAAGCGATTAGCAGAAGATGATATGAAGAAGGTGAAAAGGTAGAGAGATGAATGGCGCTGACTTTGTGATGCTTTATCGATGGATATTTAAAGACAGATTTTTTTTTTTTAAAAAAAAAAAAATTAATGATTTTATTTTTTTGTGAAATTTCAGTGAACGCATGGGACAAAAAGGGAGCTGGTTTTGGGGTTTTGGCCTTTTGGCTTTTGCCCATTCCTTGGATTGGTTTGACTTTGTAAAAATGTCAGAGGGGCGAAACCAAGCTGGAATATAATTACACGCTTTCTTATATTCTATGTTCTCATTTGTTGACGTCTTGACCAGGGTTTTATTAACTTGTAATAATAATAATAACAATAATAATAATAATAATAATAATAATAATAATAATAATAATAATAATAAGGCATTAGCGGTGTAATGTGGAAGAAATCCATATAAAAAATATTATTTTCTCTGATTAAAGTCATTAGGTAATATTATGATATATAGGGTGTTTGGTAAATAACAAAGGCACAAAGCAATCAATTTTTAGCAAATTTAATTTGTTTGACTTTAGTGGCTTGACTTATCGAATCACGAGTATTATTTATAAATTTTAAAAAATTAAAGGTAACATTTTATTTTCATTTACTATTTAATTATTTATCAACCTAAGTCTAAGTAATAAAAAATGCATTGGTGTAGATGCTCTTATATAGTGTCGTATGTGTATATATATGCAGTGTATAGAAAGTTTAAATCTTTTCTTTTTATATGCAGGTTCACAAAGATGCTACTGGACTAAGAAACAAATATTTCCCTTTGTATGATGAATTAGTATAGGAATAAGGGTCAAATAGGCTATCGAACTACACACCAAAATATAATTAGGTCACTAAACTCAAAAATCATGTAATTGGGTACTTGAACAGATCCTTGAACAACACAAAATGATGCAATTGAATCAAACGTGACCTGTTTACCTGTTAGTTTGCTTACGTGTAGGTTATCTATTAAAATAATATTTTATTTTATTTTAATAATTTTAAATAAAATGAATAAGGTTCAAATTGGCCACTGAACGTAACCTGAAAATGCAATTAGGCCACTGAACGAAAAAAAAGTGCAATTAGGTCATTGAACACTCAAAAAATGTGCAATTAGGACACTGAACTCTCCAAACGTATGCAATTTTACCGGATAGCAGGTTACCATCAATTTTAGCAGGTTACCTGCTTACGTGGCAGCTTAGTTGGCATTTTTAACAATTTTTAAATAATTTTTAATAATTAATTTTAATAATAAATTTTATAAAAAATTGGAAAAAATTAAATAAAAAATAAAATAAAGTCGTTTTTATTTTTTTTTAAAAAAAATTTAATAAAAAGTTATTATTAAACTTTATTAAAAATTAATTAAAATTTATTAAAAATGCCAACTCCGCTGCCACGTAAGCAGATAACCTGCTAAAATTGAGGGTAACCTGCTATCAGGTGAAATTGCACATTTTTTGAGTGTTCAGTGGTCTAATTGCACTTTTTTTTCGTTCAGTGGCCTAATTGCATTTTCAGGTTACGTTCAGTGGCCAATTTGAACCTTATTCCTAAATAAAATAAAAAATTTTTAAAAAAAGGGTGAGGGGCTTCGTCTCCAGGCTGCCGGAGACGGGGTCTTCGTCTCCAGCAGCCTAGAGACGAAGGGTACTTCGTCTCCATGCTGGAGGAGACGAAGAAACCAGGCTGCTGGTGACGAAGACCCCCTGTTTTTTTTTTTTTTTTTTTTTTAATTTTATTATTTAAAATTATTAAAATAAAAAATATACATTATTTTAATAGGATAACCTACACATCATCAAACTAACAGGTAAACAGGTCACTTTTGGTTCAATTGCATCATTTTGTGTTGTTCAAAGATCTAAATGCATGTTTTTTGAGTATAGTGACCTAATTGCATTTTGATGTGTAATTCGATGACCTATTTGACCTTGATTCCATTAGTATGTAACAATAATATATTAGACATTTTAAAAAGTTTTATGGAGAAGTTTAAATGAACCAAACATGTTAATTAAATTCGCAGGTAACTTAATTGTTATGTTTTCAAATATGTTAAATAATTTTTCCTGAAAAATTATTCCCATCAAATATATTTTCGAGAATTCCCATCAAATATATTTTCGAGAAATATTTTTACAAGAATTTAATTGATAGAAAAAGTATCAAAAGGCCTCCAAGTGTAAAATAGATTGTTAAAGGACTCTTTTTTATACGCATTTGATATAATTGATGACGTATCAAATATTTTTCAAAGAACACATTATATTGAGCGTTAAGCACATAATTCGTTCCACATTAATTAATTATAAAATGATAAATTGGAGCCCTAGCCCCTTTATATAAGATGGGACTTAGATAGAGTCATATTTAACTTGTATGATTGTGTTTTATCACTAGCTTGATTATATTTTGATTAGTTTACATGTACAATTTTAAACGATCAATATTTATAGAAATTGAAAATATGTTGGTATTTATTAGTTACAATTATAAGTTACACAATATACATTTATACTTACATTTTTTTGTGTACTTTTTTTTTTCTGAGAAGATGTACTTTTATTTTTTAAATTTCACCATTTTTTCCATATATAATTCCTAATGTACTGGTTATTTATATTGTCCTTAACATTATTGGATAAATAATTATTTACTTTTAAATGATACTAATTACTTATTTATTCTCCTTTTATTATAATTAGGTGCTTAGATTTTCAAAGTTAAAATATTAAATTAATATTTCATATATTCTTTAACGTCACGCAATAAGTAATTAACTATTCCATTATTGAACATCTGCTCTAATGTCAATTAACCACAACTAGCTAGACTCAAATCCTGATACCAATAGGAATATACTTTGCTAAATATACTGGTAAATTAAAAAAATATATATAATCAATAATATTTAATCTATTATTAATAGATAATAATTAATCAATATGAACAATCGTAAGTAATTTGCAAAATAGTAATAATTTTAGAATGTTAATCTCTTCTACACTTATATATATATATATATATATATATATATATATATATATATATATATATATATATATATATATATATATATATATATATATATATATATATATATATATATATTCAAACCATTTATCTAGTAGATTTAACGAAAATAAATAAAACTTTGCAATATTTATAAAATTGATCCCACTCATTTTAAAATTTGTAATATTTATAAAAATGACCCTTCTCATTTTTAACTTGATTTCCCATCCATCAAATCTTGTAGATCAATGGTTTCGATTTGTCCACAAGTTCTCACCGGGAGAGTGGTTCTCATATGATTAGGATTATATATATATATATATATATATATATATATATATATATATATATATATATATATATATATATATATATATATATATATATATATATATATATATATATATAATACAGATCAAATGCGAATGGTGTGTTTAGGTGCGAACGTGGGGTGAAATGAGAGTCATTGATCTTGCCAAGATCAACGTCCAAGATTAACAAGGATTAAAAAAAATGTGGTGGCAATTTGGTTTTTTTTTGCGTTTAGGTCAAACTTAAGGTGCATGGTTTTCCTTCTTAAGGTGCGTGATTTTTGTGCTTAAGGTGCATGGTTTTTGTGGTGTGTGCTTAATGTGCGTCAGTTGTTGAAACTTAAGGTGCGTCGGTCTAAAGCTATAGGTGCGTGGTTTTTCCTTCTTAAGGTGCGTGGTCTATGTGCTTAAGGTGTGTCAGTTGTTGAAACTTAAGGTACGTTGGCGTAAAGCTCAAGGTGCATTGCTTTTCTTCTTAAGGTGCGTTGTTTTCCTTCTTAAGGTGCGTCGGTCTAAAACTTTAGGTGCATGATTTTCTTTCTTAAGGTGCGTTGTTTTCCTTCTTAAGGTGCGCCATTTTTTTTTTTTGCAGTTCCAAAACACAACCACTATCCATTTGCAATCATGTTTCAACAATCAGTTAATGGAAGTAGAAATGTAAGTTTTATTGCTTATGAGTGGCTAGGCTCTGGTGGTGTTGTCTTCTTAAAATCGATTTTGTCAACCTTTACTTCACCATCAATCAGTTCGTAAACATACACCGCAACTCGTAGGCCTTCAATGTTCATGAGGATAAAACTTAGGGTTAACATCATAGGTATCACTGCTGTGAACACCCGATCTTGGATTTATAACAATGCCTTTTTTTAAAATTTTTTTTATTAATTTGAATCGTTGATTTATATTTGATCAACGGCTCAGATTTAACGACTGAGATCTAACTACTTCACTATTTAGTTCAGTTGCGGAAACGTGTTTCCATTATCCATAACAAACTAAAAGAAAATTAAAAAATAATAATAACAAAGAGAGAGAGAGAGAGAGAGCGCATTAATAATGCCATGAAAGTCGTACAAATTGTCAAAGGACAGACAAATAATGGTTTGGCAAGATTTAGAAGATTGGTTGAAGGAGTCTTGGGATCTTATCCAGCCAATATGCATGTGAATTGATGGCCATTTTGCACGCTCGCAACTGGCACCACTTGTACCTACCTATAGGCTATACCCCCTACATTTTGCCTATGTATAATGGCACCACAGTGGTCGTATTGCAACAAGTTCGCCGTAAACTACCGGCTATACATAAAACTGTAGAACTGATTAAACTATAACGATAGTCGTTTTTTACTTAAAGAAATGGTGTCTTTTTAGATTATGGTCGATATAATTGGTGGGTATAGTATTAGGGAGCTGACCAAGCCCCTTATTTTTCTACATTTCTCACCGATCCTATATTGGTGGGAAATATAGATATATAGGTGCCTCGAGGTTTCCTATTTAGGCTCTGTTTAACGGAGCTTATTTTGAGGATTATAATTTATTTTAAGTTACTAATAAGCTATAAGTTCTGTTTGGTAAGGTTTCCAAAATAAGCTAGTAGTTTAAAATAAGAATTTATTTTGAAATGGTAGCATTTCAAAAATAAGCTAGTAGCTTTCTAACCTTTTTTTTAATCTTTATTATTTAAAAGAATTAATTTCACTTTTGGTCCCACGACTTT